CTATCCACTCAACAATTTTTTCTTGCGGAGTGTCACTTGTACTTGTATTGAATTTTATATATTCGTTATATGCAGATGTGCTGTAGTTGTGTTGGAAAGCTGCCATTGTAGAATATGCAATTATATTCGACATTGATATTTATGTTGGCACGTATGAGCATCTGGCCTAAACGTGCTCGAATTTATGTATCGTTTCTCTCTGCAGGTATTTTTCCATTGTATTATTGTTTTATTATCAAAATAGCCGATGTTTATTCGTTGCCACGATTTTTACCCGTGGTACGACCTCGGTCGGAACATGGAAGGTTAGATGTTTCTAGTCTATCTCTATCGGCGTCCATGACTGCCCATCTACAAGAGAGCTGCTGTTACGATTTTGCCGCGTAGCTTTGCGCGCCGGGTAGTCTGAGATCCATGTCCATTTTTTAGGCATACACCACCCATTAACTTTTGATTTGTTTGCATATCAGTACGCTGTGTTCACAGAGACATCGCATATAGTTGTTTTTGTATGCGTATGCTCACGAACAACAGACCTGTATCTAAATTTATGAGATATGGATAGTTGGTCCCATTTACGCACCGTTCCATATCATGGCAGTTTTCGTTCATCTGTATCATCATGCATTTAGCGCGCAAGGTATGGGACGATAGTTGCAATACACACACGTGTAGATAAATAGTCCTTTATTCGATATCACCAGATGGTATCGTGCGCATGTGCTTGTTCTTGTGCTTGTGCTTGTGCTGGCGCTTGTGCTTGTGCTTGTGCTTGTTCTTGTGCTTGTGCTTGTTCTTGTGTATGTGCGTGTGCTTGCACAGAATCTAAAACAACCTGTATATTGTATCCAACCTCACCCTAGTTCTAACACGCACACGCCTGTCCCAAACAGGTCGAGTATGCCTTCAAGGCCATCAATTCGGGCCAACTCACATCGATAGGAATCCGCGGAAAGGACAGCTGCTGTGTGGTGACGCAAAAGAAGATTCCCGATAAGCTGATAGACCCCGCATCAGTCACTAACATGTACTCCATCTCAAAGAATGTGGGCTGCGTTATGACCGGTATTGCAGCGGACTCGAGAGCGCAGGTGCAAAGGGCTCGGTGAGTGCAGAACCGTGTTGTGTGTATAAATCATTTTGCATGTGTGCCACCTTAGATATATGTATATATCGTGCAATACACATATACCTATACTGTATTGACACACACACACACACACACACACACA